GGTTCAGAAAACCACAGTGTGGTGATCCGGAAAGTCGGATCACATCATCATGTGATTGTACGAAATCTACAGTAAAACTGAGTGATACACACTTGGGTATATGATAAATATGTATATAGGAATTCTTAGCTCTCGATCAGGTTCATGCGTCACATAAATTCTTGTGACAGGCTCAGCATATAACATATCACAGATTTTGTAAAAGAATATCTGGATGCAGCAGTATACCTGCTTATTTGGATATGCCTCAATCAAGAGTATTCGTCATTTTATACCTATCGATAGTTAACATTAAATAAGGCGTTCGGAAAAGATTTGTATTGCCGATTAAATTTACATTTTGTTGTTATATAAACGGATTACCGTACTCAAACAGTTATTTGACTGGCACCATAAAATTAAAACTGCTTCGGGTATCAATTTTACACATTTATTTAACATTGTCATTTCTATCTATGTATACAGTATAAACCATAAGTCACGCGATTTGCCTGGTTTTAAATAAATTGTCTGAATGTTTTTGTAAGGAATGGCATCCCAAAATTTCGACATATTTCTATTCTAAGTCTAACAGAGAAGAATCTTTTAAAATCAATTGTCGTCCAATTTTAATATTAATTTTCAATCACTATTGTTCCGTAAAATGTACAAATTTTATCTCTTTTTGTCATTACTACGAGATTTTATTTAAGGAATAACTGTCTAATTCTCTGGATTCATGATGTGATCAATTGAGTGCCTTGCGTGTTAATTTGCATAAACGCCGAAGGCGTTTATGCATAATATCATCATGCAAGCCAATCGATTGATCATCGTCATGAATCCAAAAAAATCTAACAGTTATTCTTTATATTTACATGCTCCTGATTTTCCAAAATTCCCGTGCTAATAGCCCCGCTTCTGTCTCTATTTGTCCCGCCCCGCACGTGATTTTTTTTTAATCGCGCCTATCGATGAACCTGAGATTTATGTAGAAATATAGCATTTTTACAATTTGTAATTTTATCTCGGACAAAGACATTGGAAATGTAAATATTGTAAATTAAATAGAGATTGCTAAAAAGTATTTTAAAATGACGTCGGAAGGAGTGACCATAGGTGTTTTCCTTATGCCGCAATTTATAGTTTCACTTTTGAGAAAACATCTTGTAGAGACTTCGCAAATGTTTTAACCTGTCGGAAGAAGAAAAAAATAATTCAAAGTCTAGATGTTCTGTTTTTAAATGATTTACAAATAAAAAAGACGCAATTTATTTGCTGTCCGGGTACTCAAAATACGTCACGTTGTAACGTTGGTCTTGTGCGATAGAAACTTTACTCCAACAAGCAGATTAAGCTTACAAAGTCAAATGAGGATCTCTATCGTTTATATAGATCCAATACAATATGAAATTAGCCTTTTATGAAATTTTAATCCTACAAACAAGATCGGTTTCTGTCAGTTATTATCTATGAGGCGCCGTTTTGGTATTTACTGCCAAAAAGTGATATCATCTATTCGAATAGGTGATATCACTTATTCAATTGGTGATGTCACCTATTCGAATAAGTGATATCACCTATTCAGCCTCTGAATAGGTGATATCACCTATTCGAATAAGTGATATCACCTATTTGGATAAGTGATATCACCTATTTGATTTGAATTTATATCACCTATTCGAATAGGTGATATCACTTATTCGAATAGTTGATATCACCCATTCAAATAGGTGATATCACTTATTCCTTTTGAATATGTGATATCACTTATTCAAATAGGTGATATTACCTATTCAAATTAAATGTGTGATATCACCAATTCAAATAGGTGATATCACCTTGGGGTGCAACGATACACCTCACGATAAGATACGTATATCGATACATGTCAAGGTTAAAAAAGTTTGACATCATATTTTTTTTTAGCTTGACAGGGGTATATCAAATATTAGGGATGTCAATTTTATTCGGACAGCTTAGTCGAATAGTCGGAGGCTTTAGTCGAACGATAGTCGAATATTCGTTGAAATTTAAATTAATTTTTCATGTCATTTTCACTATTTGTCTTTTATAGACTAGTTATACAATATTTAATCTACGCTATCACCATTGTACAACGATTTTCTGAATCTTAAACATCTACGTAGTACAATAAATACAGTACATCTATATTTATCCAATTTATTTAATTTCAAAATTAATATAATATTTATTGCACATTTTATCTAAATGCAGGATACCAAACGCTCGCACTTCTACTTTATTTTCATAACGATAGTACCTGTACCCGTTAATTGAAGCCATTTCTACGTGTCGTGTCAGTGACCTTTGACTGGTAAACAATTAAAGCGCGTCTCTTATAAAAACAGAGAGAGAGAGAGAGAGAGCTTGCGTTAAATCTTAATTATGAGAATTTGTGCAAATAATCAATACAATCTTAAAATGACTGCTTGATATTAATATCAGAAAGAAACACCATTCAATTAATAATTACGCTCGTAACTGTCCCCCAATTTACATGTATTTACAATTTTGTAACAGCTGTTTAATTATTCTTTATGAATAGTTGCATTACGTCAGATCTTATGGAATTGCAGGTTGAAACTTTATAATTTGAATCTACAAAACCAAACAATTCTTGAACGTCCTCTCCATTTACAACAACAAGTGGTTAACAATCCTTGTTAGTCATGTTTGTGATAGCAACATTTTTCTTTCTTGGTCTGCTTTTTTTGGAATTTTTTCGGAGAACTTACTTTTAAAAAAGTCTCACTTGAAGATTGTGTTTATTACACGTATGATTGACGGATTCGGCATATGATATGTCATATTTGATGTTCCACTGCAGAATACAAGTTTCACATAACCTTGATAACGTACTTTTAACTGTTTTTTTCCATCCTGATATCTTTTAAACTATACCAAAAACTGTAGATTTTGGAGGTATATTTGCCGAACATAAATCGACATACAAATAATTTTCTTTGAACAGTTAAACCATACCGAGTTTTACTTACAAAAACATTGATCTGTATATAAATGAAATGGGCGAATCCAAGTTTATTACCTTGAATTTAAAATTTCTTTTAGGTAACATATTTTAACGAATAACCGACTAAAGAAATTTTAGTCGATAGTCGGTATGATCGAACGATAGTCGAGTACTCGAATATTCGTTGACATCCCTATCAAATATTTATATATTTTTTTAATAATAATTAAAATATCACTTTGTTAACCTGAACTAGATTGATAGGTAGATCTTTGAGTTGTGACAATATTCTAAACCAGTGGTGAACATTTACAGGGAACTACGGGAACCTTTCCTAATGATCTTCCCTATAACTTGGAATGAAAAAGGAAGACATTCATTCTTTTATTCCTTTTATTTACGTAGAAAACCAGTTATCATATTTCTCAACGTATTAAACTAAATTTCTTCAACATTTTTTAAAAGTCTGTTGTTTTACGTTCTTGACAAATTTTCTAAGTAAAACATAGATAGTTTTATTTTTATCGCATCAGTCCACGAACTTTTTGATAAACCCCTTGTGCTGACCCTTTCATGCAATTTATTACTTTGTTTCATAATTTGAAATATATTTTATTTTTAAATGATATTTTTATATTATCATTATGAAGACTCTTTTGTTGCGTTTGTTTAGAACTGCCAAAGAAATAAACATTTTAGAATATTTCTTAGAACTCGGTATCTCTTTCATAATTCAGGATACCGAAATCATAAAACTGAAGTCTCTATTCTCTATTCTTTTTTCTAGAGAACTATGGAGTCTTTTCTCCTCAGTATACTGCCTATCGTTATGAATATTGTTAATGGACAAGCAAAGGAGACGTTTTGTCCTGGAAGTGTATGTTTTTGTCCAAACATAGTTACAGCTGATTGTTCCAGAAGAAACCTTGAAGCTATCCCAGCCGGGTTGCCAAGAAGTATTAACACTTTAATGTTGTCAGGAAATAATTTTCCATATCTTCAGAACGACACATTCAACTCTATCCGTGGCTTAAATATTACAACTTTAATAATAGATCATTGTCAGATAAAACATATTTCAGAACATTCTTTTGAGGATTTACAAAGTCTGGTTTACATTGACTTGGCTTATAATGATTTAAACATAACAGCTATATACAAAGGTATAAAACATCTTGGAAGTTCAGAAGTAAAAGTGCTGAATATTTCTGGCACTGATTTGCATACTGGAATTTTTCCGTTTTATCCGCACAATATATTTTCTACGGCTTGGTTAAAGGGGCTGCAAGAAATAGTAATTCGATCATGTCGCATTCGAATTTTTACTTTCGTCTCTCTTAAACATTTATCCAAAGTTAGGAAAATTGATTTTGGAAGCAACTTCATATCAGATTTTAAAGCGCATGATTACCAAATTGATACTTTAGAAGAGTTGAATTTTACAGAAAATTATTTTGAAAGCATCCCCCAATTCTGCTTGAATGACACGACACCAATATTTCCAAACCTTCAAAAACTGTATATGGCAGAAAATATTTTGATGCGTACAAAAGATTTTAATGTTCAGGGACACTGCCTCCAACAAGTAAAATTTCTAAACATTTCACTGAATCTTTTCCAGGAAATCACTATGTTTTCCTTTTCTTCTATGCCTCTGCTACAAACCCTAATCATAGGTAACCTACGTGGAGTTGTTTTGCAGAAAGGAGCTTTATCTTCAAAATCTCTCCAAACACTTTCCATCGGACGTATTGAAGAGATAAAAGATAAGGAATTCAGAAATATTTTCCTTAATTGCCCAAATCTAAAGGTTTTGGAAATAAAAAAATCAGATTTTTCTAAAACTGATGTTAGGAAAGTGCTGCTACCTCTGAAACACTTGATATCCTTGACAATTGTTAATGGTGGAATAAACCAGATGACGCCTCTTAATGATTTTACGAACCTGACGTACATAGATTACAGCTTTAATAAAATTAAAGAAATTCAAGGGAACATTTTCCAAAATTTGTCCCGTTTCAATAAATTTGTTCTCAAAGGCAATAGTTTGAATAATATCAATCAAGAATTTTTGCCACATGATCTTTGGGAAAAGAAAGATTTCTTCCTTGATGTATCATCCAATCCCTTCGACTGTGGTTGCCAATTGGAGTGGTTCAGAGTTTGGGTAGAAAACAACAAAGATAGGGTGATTGGATACCCAAACAACTATATCTGCAATTCTCCTTCTGAGTTAAAGGAGAAAAGCCTATCCAACTTTGATCCAGCTTTGGAATGTCACAAAATAAACCCCTTTATTATACTAACCTTCACTTCCCTTGGATTTCTGTCAGTTCTGATTTTCACTACAGTTCTCTTAAGAAAATTTCGCTGGGATATCAAATATTACATATACATTTGCAAAAATAGGAAACCAATGGGATACAAAAGGTTTACCGATGACGAAGAATTCTTGTATGATGCTTTTATTGCTTATAACACAAACGACAGAAAATGGATCATGTCTGAACTGGTTCGAATGCTGGAAAGAAACCACAAATATAAACTCTGTCTACATGAAAGAGATATCATTCCAGGCGGAGTTTACGTAGAGGACATTCTTGAGAGTATTGACACGAGCAGGAAGTTGATTTTGGTGCTCTCGAATAATTTCATGGATGATCAATGGTGTAAGTATGAAACAGCTCTTGCGAGTCACACTTTGGCGGACGGTGATGGTCATAAGCTTTTTCTAGTGTTGTTGGAGGACATTCGCTCCGAACACATCAACAGATCCCTGAAAGTGCTTCTGAAATCTATCTCACATGTGGAGTGGACGGAAAATAAAATTGGTCAGAGAATGTTCTGGGAAAGTATCAAGCAATTCATGGATAACAATTGAAATAAAAAAAACTGTTTCCCTAGATGAAATCATTAAATTTATCTTCCTTGATTTCATTTTCAAATGTTTCTTAAAGATAAATATAATAACATGATTCACTGTACTACATGTTTAATCTAATTATAAAGATGCACAGAACAAGTACTCATACGCAAGCACACTAACCATTATTAATAATTGTAAATTAAACCTTCGTTATAATAATCCCATTTATTAGGATTACCTTTGATTTTAAAAGTTAAATGCATATTCATGATTTTTAAAATGAAATGAACATTCATAATTTTTAAAATGAAATGAATATTATGATTTTAAAATGAAATGAATATTAAACATGTAAGTGACATCATCATTAACAGTCAAAGCCATTAACATCTTATCTCTATGAGTTGAGATCTAAGGAGAAAAAAATTGTATCATCGCATTGAGTCTCTCTGCTAGATTACGAGTTTGTTTCTTAGGACCATATTACCGGTAATATTCGATCTTCTTAACAAGGAAGATAACAATGGGACAATCCACTCCTAGCTTTGCATAATGATTTTGTCTTGCAACTGAACAAAATGCTAAGAAAAGTGTATCCGAGTATTGTAAAAGGATGATATGGTTTTGGAACTAACGGGTGATTTTTACACAGGATTGTAGTTGACAGAAACGTATTGCTATGACATAAAATGTCTTAATCAAAAATTGTTCAAAAGGGACAAAAGAACCCTGAAATGAATTAACATCACCATCAATAATTAATATTTTGTTATTTGAAGAAAATATGAAACAACAAAAGTAGATTTTTTATAAGAGCAGAAAGGAATTTTAGACTAAACTTTTATATATAAATTTTTGTGTACAAAACCCATTTTCTAACATTATTGTTCTTGCATGTATATATGCTTTCCAATACTATTTTGCAAAATATTGCGATTGATGAGGCTAATTTTTCAAATATTTAATACGGAGCACACACTAATACGAAGCAAAAATCTTCAAAATAACCAAATTTCTTTCATGCATGGCAACATATCATATCATATCATATATATATATATATATATATATATATATATATATATATATATATATATATATATATATATATATATATATATATTAGGGATGTCAACGAGTACCCGGTTAACCGGGTACTCGATCGAACGTCCGAGTATCGAATACTAAAAATGGTACTCGGTTACTCGGAAGTGTATTTGTTCTTATTTTAAAGTACATATTTTATCAAAAACTTATCAAAAAAATAACTTAAATGTTCATACGGAAACTAGCGTGTCGTCATCTACACCTGTAAAACACCCGTTATCGCCTGTGGCTGTATATATACGGTAATTAATGACCAATCATTTGGTACACAGCAGTTCTCACCTATTGAAGTCCTTAATTTTTGGATGGCTTCAATGATTGTTTTCAGTAAACATCGTTTAAGCATGGTCTATTATCTTCTTAAATTATTTAATATACACATGTACGGCGGCGAAGTCAGACATGCATAGAAATGCCGCTACCGAAGAAATGTTTAGAAATAATTAAAGATTTTAAAAAATTTTGAAAGTCAGTTTGCATAGTAAGTTTAGTGGGAAACAATCAATATATAAAATAATATTACACTAGCGATCCCAACAACGTCCTTTCCTTCTCTTTCGCTAGTCTAACATCAAAACCAGCGTAACAGATTGTCTTCTCTTTTTTGCGTTGATGAAATAGGTCCTATAAACAAGAACTGTAAACATTTGTAATTTTTGATGTATGAATTGTGTCTTTTGTGTTTATTTGATAAATAAATTTGGTACCAAAAATTCATTTCCCTTTCACTCAGTTGTTTACATACATTTATTAACGTGATAAAAACAGCTTTCGGATTTAACAGAGCTTAACAAGGCTCAAGAAAATTAACACACTTGTATTTTTATTTTTACCGAGTACCCGGGTACTCGATCGGAAAAACGTCCGAGTAACCGATTATCAAAAATTGACCGATTTGAGATCCCTAATATATATATATATATATATATATATATATATATATATATATATATATATATATATATATATATATATATATATATATATATATATATATATATATATATATTATAGACCATGCACAGCATTTATACGAGCAAAATGTAGGCAATGTACATATATGTAAAATTTAGAAATAATTCCTTCAGAGTTCATCTTATTCATTTTTTCTTTAGTTGAACAATTTATAAGTTGATTGTACATGTATATATAATTGTATTGATGAGGATACGATCATTATTTTTCTCTAATTGATTCATTTACTGTTTGTCAATTTCATGCCTCATGTGAGTCCTAATAAAATGTGTCAGATGTTTTGTTCCTCGATACTTAAAAACTACCCTTATTTGCTTTAAATTTCACTATCCACAGAGTTTCATTACTTGTTATTTTTTGCTCCGATGGAAAATCTTGGTACATGTAATACTGTGAAAATTTGAGGAAATTCTCGAGGAATACCCAGATGCCCCTCGCATGAAAAGTAGATCATTTACCTAGTTATTTCAAAGTGAATATTAAAACTACAAGCATTGTCTACAAGATATAATTGGTGCACAGTTCTTCATTCCTATAAATAGATATGTTTTGAGATCTTAGTTAAAACGTTATATCCTTTAATGTTTTAATGCTATCCGACTGGCCGCTATCCAACATTGCAGATAAAAATTCTACGTAAAATCAACCTGCACGTAACAGGGGTCCCCACTTTTTTTTTTAAAACTGTATGAATTTTTTAACATTGATTTTATATAAAAATGATCATTGAAAGGCTTATTGTCCTCCATCCATTCCATTTATTTAAATTAACTAAAGTATGATCAAATTTCAACAACCCAAGATGCTCAATTGTTTCATAGTTGATGACTTAAAGCCGCTTACTTTTTTAAATATTTAGGTGTATAGTTCCAAATATAGATCACTGTGATCCTACTTTTTGGAAAATATTTTATGATTATATGCCTCTTTGTATCCTAAATTTTATGTTAAAGGCTTCAAAATTGAAAAGTATATGTCACCTTGACCTACATTTTGGATAAAACACCCTTAGAATCCAACATACATTAACTGACTAAGTATGATTGTTTTTAGCCTCTTATTATCCGAATTATTTAGATATAGTTATGAAATTCCAAAAGTAGGTCATGGTGACCTTCCTTTTAGCTGACAGGCTCGGAAAACCCAATATACCTCAACTGACACCTTTTAATGATTCTACGCCACTTAGTATCCCAAATATTGAGAAATAACTGAGATTCCAAAAGTATGTCAGCGTAACCTACTGTTTTGTTGACAAATTCAAAGGACCCGAGATGCATCAACTGACAAAGTTTGATGGTTTGGGGCTTTTTATTATCTTAATATTGAGATAAAAGTAAAAAAAAATTAAACAAGAGGCCCAAGGGCCTTGAATCGCTCTTCTGATAAATTGTACAACCAGCATCACTTCTATTTGAAGCCTCTAAGTATCCTGTATATCTAAATAAAGCCTTGAAATTCCAAAAGGTCATCGTGACCTACATTTTAGATAAAACACTCCGAGAACCCAATAAGTTTCTAAGCCAATTAGTACCTGAGAGTAGATCATGGTGACTTACTCACATTGTATCACTTATTCTCCGAGTACCCAAGATGCATCAACTAACCAAGCTTGATAATTCTACGCCAAATAGTACCTGAAATATTTATATAAAGCCATAAAATTTCAAAAGTAGGTCATGTTGACCTAGCGCTACTTTTCAGTTGACATACTCCGAGGACCCAAGATGCAACAACTGACAAAGTTTGATGATTCTAAGCCAATTAGTGCCTGAAATATTTGAAAAAAGCCATAAAATTTCAAAAGTAGGTCACGGTGACCTACTTTTCAGTCAACTTACTCCGTGGACCCATGATGCATCAACTGTTAACGTTTGATGATTTTAAGCCAATTATTGCCCGAAATATTTGATAAAAAGCCATACAATTTCAAAAGTAGGTCAGGTGATCTACTTTTCAGTCCCTACCCCGAGGACCCAATATGTATCAACTGACAAAGTTTGATGATTCTAAGCCAAATAGTACCCCAAAATATATAAATATAGCCATAAAATTTCAAAAGTAGGTCACGTTGACTTACTTTTCAGTTTTTGTACTCCGAGAAGCCATGATGCATCAACTGTTAACGTTTGATGATTCTAAGCCAATTAGTATCGGAAATATTTAATTAAAAGCCATAAATTTTCAAAAATAGGTCATGGTGAACTACTTTTCAATCGACTTACTCCTAGGACCAAAGATGCATCAACTGACAAAGTCTGATGATTCTAAGCGAATAAGTACCTGAAATATTTAATTATAGCCATATAAATTGAAGAGTAGGTTAAGTGACCTACTTTTAAGTCGACCTACTTTGAGGACCCAAGATACATCAACTGACAAAGTTTGATGATTCTAAGCCAAATAATACCCAAAATATTTAAATATAGCCATAAAATTTCAAAAGTAGGTCACAATGACCTAGTTTTCATTTAACGTTTTTGTTTTGAACATACGCCTTGAAATATCTAAAATGTACCTCTAAAACGTTTTGAACTCGAATGCCTGCAAAGTTCAAAAAGTAGGTCACTGTGACCTACTTTTAATAAATGTGTTTTATGGCCCCAAGATGCATCATTTTAGAAGATTTAATAATTCTAAATCTCTCAGTATTCGAATTAATTGACCTTAAATGGTTTGAGATTAGCCATGAAATTCAAAAAGTAGGTCAAGGTGACCTACATTTTAGTTGACCTACTCCGAGGACCCAAGATGCATCAACTGACAAAGTTTTATGATTATAGGCCTAAAATTGTTCAAAACATGCCTCTAAATCATTTTGAAAAAGAAAACTGCAAAATTTAAAAAGTAGGTCACCGTGACCTACTTTTGAGTCAGCCTGATATGAGGTCCTTAGATGGATAAACTGACAAGATTTGATGATCCTAGTCCTTATAGTAAGCAAAATATCATCATTTTAATAAAACGTAATTTTTGGTCAACTTTGAAGTGACCTTGAGACCACGCCCTTTGCTCCAGGGTGATACCTTGAACAATTTTTAATTTTTAACATATCCTTATTCTTTTGTGTAAGTTTGGTGATAATCTGCCCAGTGGTTCTTTAGAAGATTTTTAGGAACCAGTACTTTTGGTTTTGTTTGTTTGTTTGTATGTTGTTTAACGTCCCTCTCGAGAATTTTTCACTCATATGGAGACACCACCACTTGCCGGTGGAGAACTGCAAATTTTGTCCTATACTCGGCACTTACGGCCATTGAGCAGTGAGGGATCTTTTTTCGTGCCAGCACCTACTGCGACACGGGACCTCGGTTTATATGGTCTCATCTGAAGAACCGGTCTCCACGTCCCACAGTGGGATTCGAACCTGCGACGTAAGGATCAACTCCTTACTTCGCAACTCCATAGCAGACGCTCTTACCACTGCGCCACGTGGGCGACTCCAGTACTTTTGGTTTTATTTACCTAATTATCTCCCCTTGCTAAAGGGTCACAACCCTAGTTTTAGCATGAACAGGAGCCCTTGGGCCAAGAATACCCTGTGACAATTTTGACAATAATTGGCCAAGGTGTTCTTAAATTATGGCCCATATTCTAAAACGTTCACGCACACCGCACAAATGGCCATAGCATTATCTCTGAGCCTTTGGCTCAGAAGAGCTAAAAATAAAAAATATTCAGTTAACTGCTTTTATGGCGATACAATCCGAAAACTCAAGATGCATCAACCAACAAAGTTGAACAATACTAAGCTTCTTAATATCCTAAACATTCAGAAATTCTAAATGTAGGTAACTGTGATCTACATTTTGGTCGACACACTCTGATAACCCTAGATGCATCAACTGAAAAAAAGGTTGAAAATGCTTGGCCTTAAATTAATTAAAAAATTCAAGTGTAGCCTTGACATTTTGAAAATAGGTCATGGTGACCTACTTTTTAGCTAACAAACTCTTGAGAACCCAATATCCGTCAACTGAAAAAGTTTGATGATTTCTAAATTCTACTATTATTCAGAATATTTAGAAATAACAAAAAAAAAAACAGAAGTAGGTCACGGTGACCTATTTTTGTCGATATACTCCAAAGCCTTAAGATTCCAGCAAATGTGCTATCAAGCTTCATTCTTTACTCCTAAATAAAACATTACCAGCAATGAAAAGGAAGTTTACATATAGGAGTACAGTACTTCACTATAATATATTTGAAAAGTGGTGTAATTCAGATGTGGATACTTAAAAACTCCATGGAACTTTCTGAAAATTTGAAATCACAAAATTTTATCAAAATCAATAACATGAAATCATTCGACTTTTTAAAAACTTTATTCAACCATTCACCATGATAAACCAAAAAACCAGGATCCAGTTGGACGAACGTTAGTTAAACTTAAGACGCCGTGAACTTTTTTCAATAATAATGGAACTCGTAAATTTACTTATATTGCACCATTGGTCATTTGCAAAATTATTTTGTTAATTACATTTCGATGTACACATAAGTGCTCCAAAGTTGATATTAAAAAAGATGCTTGAATTTCTGATTGACAACGTACTTTTTGGAGATCGTCTTCCAACAAACTGTTGGAATTCCCATAGGTACTAATGGCGCCCTGTTATTAGCTGACCTTTTCTTGTACTTATATGAAGCAGAATTTATTCAAAAACTTAACTTCTCTATGAAAAGAACAAGTCTCCTGCTATGGCCTTCAATTCAATTAACAATATTCATTTTCATTCCTACATTGATTTGATATATCCCTTTGAACTCAAAGAAAAGATACCACAGATTCGACCTGCTCCCACCTCTGATGTTTTAGAGGTCTGCTTTGCTCTGCTCCTGATTTGTATTGTTTTAATGGACTTATGAGCTAGAATACTGTTCGCAATCTCCATATTTCATAGAGTACTGTGAGTTAGATGAATGTATTGACAGAGAGAGCAAGACTTTAATATGAATTTGATGCCCAATGAAAAATTTTCGCTATGAGACATGAAGTCTCACAAAGTTTGTTAAGATAGACCTGATAAAGACACTTCATGTATTTAATCATTTCCATAATGATAAGCAACCACCCTCAGTCACAATGTAGTGCACATTCAAGTGTCTTCAAATCATGACACTTTAGGATAGAATAGAGCCAAAATATTACATTATAAAAGAATATCAATCACAGGAAAAGGCAAAAAACAAATCAGAACAGAAATTAATGATTACAATTATATTACAATTACAATACAATACAATTACAATTCTATGATAAATTTGAACACAAAAACAAATAAATAACAAAATATGACAAATGTAACACCAATGTTTATTTAAGAAAAAAAAATTCCTGATTGCATATAAGGAATATCTTAAGAGAACTGCGTATTCCATTTTCAATAAATGATTTTTTTACAACATGATTAACCAAACTGTCTTTAAATTATGATGAAATAATGAACTGCTGCCATAAGTGGGTTAATAATGTACAGTGTTTATCAATTAAACTGATATTTTTTGGGATCATGTACAGTGTTTTTCATTAAACTGATATTTTTTGGGATCTTGTACAGTGTTTATCAATTAAACTGATATTTTTTGGGGATCTTGTACAGTGTTTATCAGTTAAACTGATAGTTTTGGGGATCTTGTACAGTGTTTATCAGTTAAACTGATATTTTTAAGAATCTTGTACAGTGTATATTAATTAAACTGATATTTTTAAGAATCTTGTACAGTGTTTATTAATTAAACTGATATTTTTGGGGACCTTGTACAGTGTTTATTAATTAAACTGATATTTTTGGGGACCTTGTACAGTGTTTATCAATTAAACTGATATTTTTTGGGGATCATGTACAGTGTTTATCAATTGAACTGATATTTTTGGGGATCTTGTACAGTGTTTATCAGTTAAACTGATATTTTTGGGATCTTGTACAGTGTTTATCAGTTAAACTGATATTTTTTGGGATCTTGTACAGTGTTTATCAGTTAAACTGATATTTTTGGGGATCTTGTACAGTGTTTATCAGTTAAACTGATATTTTTGGGATCTTGTACAGTGTTTATCAGTTAAACTGATATTTTTTGGGATCTTGTACAGTGTTTATCAGTTAAACTGATATTTTTGGGATCTTGTACAGTGTATATCAGATAAACTGATATTTTTTGGGGATCATGTACAGTGTTTATCAGTTAAACTGATATTCTTGGGGATCATGTACAGTGTATATCAGTTAAACTGATATTTTTTTGGGATCATGTACAGTGTTTATCAATTAAACTGATATTTTTTGGGATCATGTACAGTGTTTATCAATTAAACTGATATTTTTTGGGATCATGTACAGTGTTTATCAACTGAACTGATATTTTTTGGGATCATGTACAGTGTTTATCAATTAAACTGATATTTTTTGGGATCATGTACAGTGTTTATCAATTAAACTGATATTTTTTGGGATCATGTACAGTGTTTATCAATTGAACTGATATTTTTTGGGATCTTGTACAGTGTTTATCAATTGAACTGATATTTTTTGGGATCTTGTACAGTGTTTATCAATTGAACTGATATTTTTTGGGATCTTGTACAGTGTTTATCAATTGAACTGATATTTTTTGGGATCTTGTACAGTGTTTATCAATTGAACTGATATTTTTGGGGATCTTGTACAGTGTTTATCAATTGAACTGATATTTTTTTGGGATCATGTACAGTGTTTATCAGTTAAACTGATATTTTTTGGGATCTTGTACAGTGTTTATGAGTTAAACTGATATTTTTTGGGATCCTGAAGACACCCTAACAAGAAAAGAAGCTCTGCCATTTTTAACCTGTCCTCTGCTTTCAACATGTCTAATGGTTCTGTGTACATTATCTTCCCTGGATCCTCTGCTGATCCTCTCTGTCCCTTACATATACTGATAGCATGCTCCTTTGATATTTTCAGCAAAACGAAAATTAACTGCAACAGAAACAAGAGACCCATGGGTCACAATGCTCACCTGTGTAACCCATTTTTTATCCTTACTTGGATATGACTTAGAATGTCATGACTTAAGTTGTTTTGCATATTAGTTTAAACTCTGTAGAAGAATACCTGTAAAGAATAATCTCCTAACAAATCTGTGTAAAACTTGTATTTAATCTATACCCTCCCCCCTTACCTAAGCCCAGGGCCATAATGTGATCCAAGCTGAATTTTCACTTGTGGATACCAGCATTTTAAACTAATTGTGTATCAGTTTTCTTACTATTTTTTTGCAACTTTATCCTTAAATAAATATTACCCCCTCCCCTTTATTGTACCCCAATCCCAGCCAGGGTGCCATGATGTGAACATGAGCATGCTTGTATATTAATCTGACTCTTTTGTTCTTGAGAAAAAGAAAGGTTTACTGCAATATATTTAAATGTGAAAAAATATTGTCCTCAGGAACCATACACTACATTAGGATGCCTGTTCTGATCTTTTTCTTATATATTCCTATGGAAAAATTTCATCCAACTCGAATCTATACTAGATGTTAAGATACTCTTTTCTTAGGCCAGCTGATGTTGATAGGTTTTTTAAAGATCTCTCACTCTTTCTCTCTATATATATACATATATGTAGAACTCCAAAGTGCGATGGGACTCAAAAGTCCGATGGTCACGCCAAAGTCCGATGGTCTGCGCCAAACCCCGATGGTTTGACACGCCAAAGTCCGATGGTGTGGAAAAACGATTGATGTTTGTGACATCATAGTACTACTGCACCAAACTGCTATGCCGCGCCATGCCAAGGTCTTAAATAAGTAGAAATAATTATCATTATGCAAAAACTAACCCTAATCTCTTGGATAGGTGCGAAACTAACCTTAATCGCTCGAAGTGTGTAACAACTATAACCTAGATATCTTGGGTGGGTGCGAACCTAATCACTTGACTACTGTGCGAGGACAAACCCTAAATCTCTCGGGTTAGTGCGAAGTAAGGACTAACCCTAATCAGTCGAGTGGTGTGCGAGGACTAACCCTAATATCTCTGGTGGGTGCAAGCAATTAGCAAAATCAGTAAAATTGTATGTGAGGATGAATACTGAACTGATGGCTTTTGAATGCAGGACAATGGCGTCAAGGAATGACGTCGGAATATTGTGACATCATAAACGTTGATTGTTTCTCCGCACCATCGGATTTTGGCTTGTCAGACTATCGCACTTTAGTGCAGCGCATCTCATAGGAAATGAGCCATCCGACTTTGGCGTCCGTACTGACATCAAACCATTGGGGTTTGGCGCAGACCATCGGGGTTTGGCAAGACCATCGGACTTGGGCGTCACCACCCGACTTTAGAGTCTTACATATATATGTAAAGGTTTGACCCTATTGGGACCCCATTCTAGCACTGGGCCATACTTAAATAAGTCTTTATCTATTTTACCACTATAAAGAAAAGATTTCTTCTTAGTTATGTATTTTCTGGATCCTTGCTTTTTATTTTTTTAAATAACCACTCCATATTCAACATGAATCAGTTATCTCCTCTTGGAAGAAGGGATTCCACTTTTTTGCTCTTTACCCATGTTACTCAAGGATGGCTTGTGCCAAGTATAGTTGAAATCTTGAGAGGAAAGTAAGAGAAGGGATCAGAGAAACAACAGACAAACCTTGATAACAAAAGCAACCAGAGCTTTTGGTTCAAATGAGCTAAGAATTCACCACTTATGATTTATCTAATAAAAAACTAAGACAACAAGACCTGTTTATTCTTACTTTTGTTTCCATACAGAGGATTCCAAGACAACTTGGATAAAATATGGAGCGTCTTAACTGGCTAACAAGCTGTATCCCGAACTGTCCCATAATTTTGGTTCCGACTAGCTCTTTTATATCTGTTGTATCTTGATTAACTGGAGCATCTTGTACCTAAAATTAATGAATAAAAAGTGGAAGTACATGTTCTGAAACATACTGGTTTGTGTTATTAACAGCATTTCACAGTGCTTAGTTGATGAAAATTTAAATATATTTTTATCCCATGTTTACCCCTTTATCCCGTGGATATGACTCATTGGATAAATTTTTCATAATCCACAGTTGTGACGTCACAATGGTTTTTGCGTTAGCGCGATGAAGTAAAATAAAGTGGAGTTCTACATAAAACAGAGTAAAACATTGGTTGTGAAGTATTAAACATGGGATAAAAAGAATCTCCCATGATTTGTAGTTGGATATGACTTTTATCCAACTCGTTGTGTGTTTTTATCCCCTCGCTAAGGCTCGGGGATAAAAAAACACACAACTCGTTGGATAAAAATCATATCCAACTACAAATCATGGGAGATCCTATATATATTAGCTATCAATTTTCATATTAATTTCCATGAATTTTTCAAGAAAATTTCTTTTCAGGCAGTTTATCTGTTTTCATGAAATTTAATAAATTAGTAAGATTAATGACTTGTGTCCAACAATAAACAGCACATGTCTGCAACAATAACACAACAAAAGTTTAGTCCATAGATCTGTGTGCAACAAAAGCACAGCACACACTTGCAACAATAAGACAGCAAATGTTTACTCCATAGACCTGTGTGTGACAATAGAAAAGCACACATGTGCAACAATAACACAGCATATGTTTACTCTATAGACCTGTGTGCAACAAAAGCACAGCACATATGAGCAACAATAAGACAGCAAATATTTACTCCATAGACCTGTGTGCAACAAAAGCACAGCACACACTTGCAACAATAACACAGCAAATATTTACTCCATAGACCTGTGTGTGACAATAGAAAAGCACACATGTGCAACAATAACACAGCACATGTTTACTCCATAGATCTGTGTGTCACTATATCATAACACGCTTAAATGTGCTGCAGAGAGTTTAATAAGCTTTTTTATCAGTTACATTTAAATAACTTTACACCTTCTGATTGCAGTGTGCCATTATAATGTTAGCAAAGTTACCTCCATTATAAATAAGAGTTCCTCCTCCCTGGTTTTAGAATACCAAGGGTAGACAATATCAGGTTTTTTCCACATAGTGCAATTTTTTAAAGTAAAGGACAACAGAGGTAATTCACTGAAAAATAAAAGATAAAATATTCTATAAACATAAGTTATACTTGTATACATATAAATTTTCAATGTAAGTCATGGCAGTGATTAATTATGGCCCTGAAGAAAGTTTCACACTTCAGAAACAGGTTACCTTGACCTTGTACAAGTCTCCTGAATAAGGGGGATTGTAAATCCACTGGTAATAAATACCTTTTAGGTCAAGTATAAGCCTCCAATGTTTCTTTGATAGAAAAATATTCCATAGTGATTAGGGCTCAATATTAATGAAAATACCCACTCGTCATGCTCGTCCATCAGACAAGTTGCGAACTAAAGTTACTTGTCTGAATCATTGATTACTTGTCCAACTCTGGAAGAATATATTTCCAAAACAACTGTAGAATTATTCTCAAAAATGAAGTAGTTATAACTAGAAAACTGACCAGTCAGCAAGGGCCCTGCTGAGGGGTAGAAATACAAGGGTGCAGCTTACAGAATGAGAATTTTAATTGATTACAAAAATTAAAAAATATACGAAGAAGAATATGAATGTATATTTAAACAAGAATAAAGCATGTGTTTTATAAAACGCCAGCCTTCAGTGAATGCAAATATCACCCAGGCTTGACCTAAACTTCAAAACAAACATCAGTTGCAGACAAAGGTTAATTTATCTTAAAGTGACAAATAAGGATAAGCCTGGAAAATTCTCTACCCCAGACAAGATAATTAATCCCAGGGGATTAATTGTACTGCTCTCACATCCTTTTCTTCTAAGTTTACAATAAGAACTTTTTCAGTAATGATAGAATGAGTTTATTATTGGACTATCTGTTGTAATTAATAGTATTCTTGAATTTACATATGGCAATGACAAAAAAATGAATAAATAAATAAATAAAATGAATAAATAAAAACAAAAAAAAAAATTTAAAAACATATCTTTATGTACATCTTGTTTTCAGATTTAATAAAATCATACCTCATTGTGTATTTTACAAAAATAAAGTATGAACATTACTTAAATCCACAGAGAATGTAAATCATTCAGAATTGACCTTAACTCCAAAACAAACTTCATTTGCGGACAGAGGTGCTAATTAATCTCAATTTGACAGAAACAGATAATGCTTTGGATTTTCTTCAAGAGGAAAGTTAATTAATCCCCAGGGACTAGTTGCAGCTTTCACAGTTTACAATAGGAACATTCTCAGCAGTTATCTCTCTATGCCCTGGCATTCATTCTAATGGAAAGTTAAGGAATCTACCCCACCACCCCAGCTCCAAAGTGGATGACATAGAGAACCAAACTTAGCATCAAAATATGTCTTACTGCCTCTTCAACCAACATACCAAATTTGAACTTAATTGGTCAACTACAAAAAAAGTTATTGGAAAAAAACAGAAAATTTGTGGACGGAAGAATGACAGACGGACAGACAGACGGACAGACAGACAGAGTGATTACTATAGGGCACCCGCAAATCCTTGAGGGGCCCTAATTAATATTGACCTTAATGATTTGTTTAAACATGAAAATAACAAAAACATCAATAATCTAAAATATAGTACATAGCACTGTCTGATATCTATTAAGTGATCATGCAGTATTACTCTCTCTGGTCTGTTAATGATATTTGGTGATGTGTTCAGTGATTCATTTTGAAAATGGTTATCATGGGTCCAAAGGACCCTTCTTAATGACAACAATGAGTCCCGTGCCAAAATCAAAATCCAAGGGTACCGTAAATTAGATGTTACAGAGGAAATTCTTGTGAAATAAAAAAGGGTATTGCACGAAAGTGCAAACGTTTTATTGTAGCTGTGAATGATTTATACTTTTACTATCAATTGTTCAAGTAAGAGTACATGATTTTGTGTCATAAAAATAATATATTGTCCACTGTGCACTTTGGTTCTATTTTTAGAAAGTATATACAGGGACCTAGTATATAGGTCCCTGGTATTTACGATCTCGCACATTGTATCAGTCATAAAATGCACAGAAGCAGAATGAAGTAAAAAAAAAGGTTTAAGAAGAAATGACAAATAGTCAGAAATAAAAATGATTAAATTTTATACTTCTTAGCTTGTAAGGAAAAACGAAAAAGAAAAAAAAAACCAATGAAACAGGTACAGCTTAAATACAAAGGTATGGTATTCGCTTCAGAAACGTTCCATGGTATAGACATAATCAGTGATAATCGAACTATGCTATCTAACTTTCAAATGCTTTGGACTGCAGTTGTGAAATCTGACCTGATGTTGGCAACCTTATACCAGATAAAATCGTTCATGCATATCACTCAGCATATGGATATGATGCAATCGGTCAAGTTTTGAATCAGATTATACCGAAATAATTTAAAATAATACATGTCCTTCTATAAATTTATTGCATCCAATGGGATGCACATTTATTGAAATAATGCGTCCTGAGCAAAATTTGTGCGTAATTTACGCAGGACGCACACCAAAATGAATCACTGTGTGTTACAGAGCCACTAAGATTGAATTATAACGTTTACAATTAAAAAAAGAATCTAAGCATTAGATAATTTTTTTTAGAAAAATAATATCTACAATATTCCATAATGGTACAAAAAGTAACTTGTCCAATCAGACAGTTTTGTCTCAAGAATGACTCGTCGAACACAAGATGAACTGGACACAGACAATTGGACAAATGTTAATGTTGAGCCCTGGTTATTCCTACATATATAGATCTCCAATCATTTTTATTTTTTTTTTTTTTTTTTGGGGGGGGGGATAAGAGAGGGGGGATTTAAATTTACATGAATAACTTGAGGCCACTATCAGAACTGACAGCTATACCCTGTTGTATATCTCATCATACTCACCCTTCACTTAAAAAGAAGATCTTTCCAAACACTTTACAATAATTTTGGAAATAATTTTTGTCTGGCCATCCCTCATTTTGTTTTGATGAAGATACAGGCTCTTTTAATACCAGTTTAAGCAGTAATTCTGTCTCCCTTGCAAAGCGTCTCGAGGCTGAGTTAAACAATACAGCAACTTCCAGAGCAGATTTCCCCACAGCTGAATCCAATGCTCTACAAAATCTGAACAGAAAAAAGTTATTACAGATAATTTTTTTCTTCTTTCCTCCAATATATTTTTATTTTTCTTCAATAAAGGGAGTTCATTAAATAAAAAAAATGGCAGCACCATACATGTATTTCCTTTCGACTGATGCAGAAGCAATAAAGTTAACTTGGGCCTAGATATATAAATATTCCAACCTGGGAAAAAAAAAAATAGGGTAGTTACATAAGAAAAACCTTTTATTTTATTTTAACATTTTATTATTTAATGAGACAATAAAAATTTTAATTTATAAGAGAAACAATGTTCACTTCTTTTCCCCAAAATGGTGGTTTACGATGCCATTTTCCCAGGGGAAATTGCTGGCAAGTATAGGATTTTGTGTTGTCTAAAAGACAGTGAACACAAAGTTTGTTTATTTGTTTGTTGTTTAACGTCCCTCTCGAGAATTTTTCACTCATATGGAGAAGCCACCACTTGCTGATGGAGACTTGCAAATATTGACCTATGCTCAGCACTTAGGACCATTGAGCAGTGAAGGATCTTTTTCGTGCCAGCACCTACTGTATCATGGAACCTTGGTTTATATGGTCTCATCTGAAGGACTGGTCTCCACGTCCCACAGTGGGATTCGAACCCACGAAATAAGGATCAACTCCTTTCTCCGCTAAACAGTGCTGAGGTGTTCATTTTATATTTTCTATTACTGTGGGAGAAAACAATACAAATATAAGTAAATGTATCAATTTATTAATTTGTACGGCTGAATCATGATACATGTGGTATTGCATGATCACATTGTGATACATATTATATCATTAGGTAGTTTGTGATACTCAGGCCTAGCTTAGGGCATGATTTGTAAATACTGCATAGTTAAGCATTTCAAATATTGACTTTTTAGCCCAGTGGTTCCTAAGAAGATGTTAAAATGACCCTACTGTATATGTCTTTTTTTATTATCTCCCTTGGAAAGGGACATGAACCTTCAATTGAGGAAATCTGAATTCCTTCACACATGGGCACTTTGTACTAAGTACCAAGTTTTGTTGAAATTGGCACACTAGGTCTGGGATAGAAGATGAATATGTGAGCAGTTTGTGATGATTTCAACAGAGAACAAAAAAATTTCCAAGCTTAATATTACAATTACTTATCAGCCAAGGTTAAAGTTTGATCAAATTTTGCATGAGTGAGTCAAACTGCAAGGTAAAGATCTCAAGGTCAAATATGTTGGTACCCAAAGAAAGGTCTTGTTACAAGGAATACACCTGTGAAAAATCCATAGCTCTATCCAATCAAAAGTTATGGGCAAGGTTAAAGTATTTGCAGACAAATAAACAAACAGATAACTAGAAAGCCAGACAGACAGACAAAGCAAAAACTACATGCCCTGAATCTTTGATTATGGGGCATAAAAAACCTTGATCTTGATAAGATAAACTGACTTTGAAACAAGTATACAATAACTTACTCATTCTCTGAATCAAATTCTGATGAATTTTCCTGCATCCTTTCGATGTCTTCATTTATCTTCCTAGATATTTCCTCTCTCGCCTCTATTATGTCTTTTGCTGAAGCACACCTAATGTCTTGGAGATCTCCAAGATCATATGAAAATGTCAGATCTTCTTCAAGTTGTCTTGTCAAAATGCTGGTCATTCTGCTGGGATCGGGACAAAAACGTTCCCTATTCGTAAAAGCATCTTTCACTTCTTTGATGAAATCTTCAAAGGTTTCTGGTGTCTTCTCAAATAAGATATTTAAGTACTCCAGATCCTGATTGTCCCATTGACTATGTGGGTTATAGTTCCCCGATTCATTACTTGAAAGTGAGCTTCCTGATCCAAATGAGTCCGTTTCTTGTTCAGCGTCACTCAAAGAAGTGTAATGTAAGTAAGGTGATGGTGGCTGTTTCTTTCTTGTTTGTAATTCTGCCTTACTGGAGCCTAGTGTTTGTAATTCTGCCTTACTGGAGCCTAGTGTTTCACTGTCCAAGACCTTTCATACACAAAAAAATGCATACATAAGAAACTGTAAATACATGAGCATGATGATTAAGTGAGTAATCTTGCCCCTGCTTGAGGAAACATATTTGAAGACTTTTGTATTTTATTCCAACGTCATCCAACTTTCATTCCCTTATTGTAACTGCACTAGTGTTGGATAATCAGAATTTTTTTTGTAATAATCAAAAAGTCCAAAATTTATCCTTATGAAAATCATTCATTTTGTATTGGACATGTTGTAAAACAATGACAACTTAGCATCCATGTATGTCTTAAAATTATTAGATTATATGAAATTTTATAATTCATAGCCACATGCCTCTAACATATTGCTGCAAAGAAGCACAGCAAACATCAAGCCCTATGAAGCTGTTTCATTTTTAAGTTAAATTTTTATATATGTTTTTAATCATTCTGAAAATAAAAATACTATAATCAACATTTAGCAATCAACCTTCAATTGTCTGTGACATATCACTGGTAAGCACCCTTGCCCCAGGGGTGATAATTTCATCAAACTGGGGGTCCCAGGTTATCAATATGGTTTGTTCCCGTTTTCAGGTAATCTGCCTAATCTGCACTTTTTTTTAGTATAGGAAATTTTATGTGAAGTATATACTGACAAAATTTACAGAGGGGGAAGCACCCTATGCCCCCCTTTCCCCCTCCTTATTCCTAAGGGCCTATATTTACATATTAGGTCAGCAGTAGTGAAATACAACCACTAATTGTATATGGCAAATAGATATTTATTTATCATGTGTATTGAGCATGCATGCAAATTACTCAAATGCAAAAATGCCCTTTCGTGCAATATTTTGCCTTTCATATATCTTTTTACAGAATTTTATATTATCAATTTGATGTTATAAATAAATACAAGAGGCCCATGGGCCACAACACTCACCTGAGTCAATATGGCCCTGCTGTTCTTCGTCAGCAGATTTCTTCTCCTATATTTCTCCTATATATTCATATATAAAGCTTTGATCGCCTGTTCTAGGCATACCCTACCCCAAGGTGCCATGTTTTGAATGAAATTGAATATAAACCTGATGAGGATGTTTCTATCTTCATATAACTAATCATGATTTTGCTGTTCTTTAAAACAGAATTTTAAATATGTCTAACACCCTACCCTGGTTGGGGGGGGGGGGGGGGGTCATGATTTGAACAAACTTGAACGTACACTACCTGAGGATGCTTCCATATCAATATGACTGATCATGGCTTTGTTGTTCTTGAGAATGAAGAAGATTTTTAAAGATATTTCCTGTATATGTTCTTTTGTAAAACTTTGATCCCCCATTATGGCCCCACCCTACTACTGGAGGATGCCTTGAACAAGCTTGATTCTACAATATTTGGGGATGATTCCATATCAATATGACTAATTGTGGCTTTGTTGTTCTTGAGAAGAAGATTTTTAAAGAATTTTCCTATATGTTAATACAGTCAAACCTCGTTATCTCGAACTTCAAGGGACCAAGGAAATACCTCGAGATATCCAAGGATTCGAGATATTCAGGGTAAAATACTTAAGAAATGTGTGCTTAGGACTTCAAAATCACTTCGACATATCCATGGTATTCGAGATTTACGTGTTCGAGATACCGAAGTTCAACTGTATGTAAAAATTTGATTCCCCATTGTAGCCCCACCCTACCCCCAGGGGTCATGATTTGAACAACCTTGAATCTACACTACCTGAGGATGATTCCAAATCAATATGACTAATTGTGGCTTTGTTGTTCTTGAGATGAAGATTTTTAAAGATTTTCCGTATATATTCCTATGTAAAAGTTTGATCCCCCATTGTGGCCCCACTCTACCCCTGAGGTAATGATTTGAACAAACTTGAATCTACACAACCTGAGGATGATTCCATATCAATATGACTAATTGTGACTCTGTTGTTCTTGAGAAGAAGATTTTTTTTTCTATATATTCCTATATAAAACTTTGATTCCTCATTGTGGCCCCACCCTACCCCCAGGGGTCATGATTTGAACAAACTTGAATCTACACTACCTGAGGATGATTCCATATCAATATGACTAATTGTGGCTTTGTTGTTCTTGAGAAGAAGATTTTTAAAGATTTTCCCAATATATTCCTATGTAAAAGTTCGATCCTCCACTGTGGCCCCACCCTACCCCCAGGGGTCATGATTTGAACAAACTTGAATCTACACTATCTGAGGATGATTCCATACCAAATGACTAATTGTGGCTTTGTTGTTCTTGAGAAGAAGATTTTTAAAGAATTTTCCTATATATTGCTATGTAAAAATTTGATCCCCATTGTAGCCCCACCCTAATCCCCGGGGGTCATGATTTGAATAAATTTGAATCTACACTACCTGAGGATGATTCCATATCAGTATGACTAATTGTGGCTTTGTTGTTCTTGAGAAGAAGATTTTTAAAGATTTTCCCTATATATTCCTATGTAAAACTTTGATCCCCCATTGTGGCCACACCCTACCCCCGGGGGTCATGATTTGAACAAACTTGAATCTACACTATGTAATGAAGGTCTCACATAAGTATAAACTTTTCTGGCTCAATGGTTCTTGAGAAGAAATTTTTAAAAGATGACACCAAATTCTTAATTATCTCCCCTTGGAAGAGGGCGTGGCCCTTCATTTGAACAAACTTGAACCCCCTTCACCCAAGGGTGCTTTGTGGCAAGTTTGGTTGAAATTGGCCCAGTGGTTCTGGAGAAGAAGTCGAAAATGTGAAAAGTTTACAGACAGACGGACAGACGGACAGACAGACGGACTACAGACAAAATGTGATCAGAAAAGCTCACTTGAGCTTTCAGCTCAGGTGAGCTAAAAAAGCATATTATAATTCTTACCAAATTTGGATTTTCATCTTCAAGATCACTAGCCTTCCTTTTCAGGGTTCTCTCAGTCAAGGTTTTAGGTCTGTTTAAGGCCATTTTTCTTTATCTTCAAAAATAAACTGCAAATCAATATACAATCATTAATGCCAATAGATATATACATGTATGCAACCTTTTGATGGATCATCCTATCATTTTTCAAAGTTCTTGATCTTTCAAAGTAATTGTTAATTGTGTAAAATAACTGCTTTAAATTTTCTCTTTATGAAATAAATAAAGCATTTACCAATCTCAAAAGTCTTTCAAAGTTCTTGATCTCTCCAAGTGTTATCTAAGTAACTCTGATGAGACTGTAGCTCCACTGGTCTGTAGGTATAACAAAGGAAAAGTAGCACTTGGATTTGAAACTTTGCAACATGCAGCAATAAATAGAATTTAATATGTATCTTAATGTAATCTACTTGTGTGCCAAATTATATTGATATCAAAAGAAAACTATGAGTAGCGTTTTGAAAGTATTTCACAGAAATTTCTATTTTTAGTAACCATGGCAAAACCATTCACTGAAATCAAAAACCGATACACACTATACCCCCTCCATGCCATACTGTCTAGATCATATTCAATATGTTGTTTTCAGTGGAACATGCAAGGAGCCTAATAACTGATGTCACATTAGCATCAAATGATGTCGCAATGTAAACAATTGTTACAGAAAGGTTTGCTTAACTCAGAGAAAATGAGCTTTATTAAAAAATCTTTGACGGGATGAATTCATTATGCACTTTAAGGGGTAATACGGAAATATATAGGGTCCTTGCTTATGCCTCAGGCCATTCCAAGTTTTTTCTCTGTTTAGTGTCCATCCATCTCTCAAAAACCTATCTACCTATTCGCAAAAAACACACAAACCAAAAAATAAAACACAAACTTTATAGTCATAAAAATAACGTTGCTCAAAGGATTTGATTTCATTATTCTATTTTTTTCGCCGATAAAACTTATTCTTCAGCAAAATCAAGGTATTCCATACAATATTCCTAATTTGACATATTGGAGAGAAATATTTTGAGAAATTGACAGAATTCAGTGATTTTGACCAGAATATTCAATTTGAGGACTCATGACTTTGTTTGTTTTTTGTGATATGTGGTGTCAAAAACCAAGGCGCACGCGGACGCTAAACATAGAAAAAACTTGGAATGGCCTCACCCAATATGCATTTTGTCAAGGACCCCATATATTTCCATATTACCCCTCTAAGTGTCTACATTACTAATAATGTGACATCACAGTCTAGATGTTCCAAATGTCTCCTGCAGTTTGAAGGGGCGAATCTAAATTAAAACTTAATAGGTATCCAATCCCCATCTGCACTTGCCCCAATGGTCACAATGTCAGCATATCAGTCTCTATTTTATCTGTGTTTCTTACTAACATTTTTCAAGTTGTCAATTAATTCTTATTGAAAAAATCATACAGGTAAAATTTATCATGCTTATATTTACTTGTTCGACAGAAAAAAACCTTTACGTAGAGTCCTGAACTAAGAAATTATGTAAATAAAAGTGTCATATGTTTAGTCTTTAAGGGCATTAGCCTCACCCAGCAGTGCTGAAATATATTCATTATTATTTCATAAAGATAACTGTATTAGACATTTTGAGGATATGACATGAGAAAATTTTATCAACTTATTACAATTTTCTGCATTCATTATTAAACATCGACGGTTATTTACCATCTTTGTTACTTCCCTTCATTATTTACCTAAATTTATTATAGGCAGCAAACATGGCAAAGGTCGGCTCAACCGAACCTGCTGCAAAGAATTATTGCGCTGAATTTCTTTTATCTTAAAACTGATTATTTATATCATAGAAATGTGTATTAGCAGACTGTTGGAGAATGATGATGTTAAAGCCAAATAAAATGCAAAATGGTTCAACAGTTCAATGTGAAAATTCTGAGGACATGCACATTGGGCGCACTTGATTTACTTACACCACTTACACCATGTACACCTTTCTTAATTAAGTGCAGGGGTGTAGACTTTTGGTGTACACTCA